TAAATGACTGCAATGACCAGGCTTCTTCCAGGTCTCTCATGTGAGTGGCAGGAGCCCAAGGACTTGAGCAATCTTCCTCTACTTCCCAGGCTTACTAGCAGGGAACTGGATTGCAAGTGAAGCAGCTGAGACATGAACCCACTGCCATATGAAATGGTGATGGTTCTTAACAAGGCCATGGCTTAACCTACTGTGCTACATGTTGGCCCCTCAAGTGATGCTGTAATTGGTATTCTCATAGCTTAAAGACCGGTTAGGGGTCTGGCATGGTTGCCTAGTGGCTAAAGTACTTGCCAGGCATGTACTAACATCCCATATGGGCACTGGTTCTAACCCCAGTTGCTCCACTCTCCATCCAGCTCCCTGCTTGTGGCCTGGGAAAGCAGTCAAGGATGACCAAAAGCTTGGGACCCTGCACCTTTGTGGGAGACCTGGAAGAGGCTCCTGGTTCGTTACTTCAGATCGGCTCAGCTCTGGCCATTGCGGTCACTTGGGGAGTGAATCAGCAGATGGAAGATCTTTCCTCTCTGTTTCTCCTTGTATCTGTAAATCTGCCTTTCCAATAAAAATAAAATAAATCTTAAAAAAAAAATGGGTCAGAGAATTGAAAATGGGAAGAGACTCAACAGTTCTTTGGGAAGTGCCTTGTCTGTGGGCGATGTTATGCTGTTTGTAATAAGATTGGGCTCTGCTGCTTTAGATGGTCTTTCTCTTGAGGGACATAGACATAGAGGTATGAATCGCTGTGAGTTCTGTATAATAGCACAGGGAAGGAAGGTAGAATTTGAGAGACCTAATTTTTCGTAGAAGTATGGGAACTCTGCAGATAAACTGGGCCTCAGAAGGGGGTTAGGCAAGAGAACATTCCAGAAAAGGGATATAGCAAAGGCCCAGAATCCTGAAAGGGGACATGACCTCAAGAAGTGGGGAATGTTCAGCACGACCGGGATGTGGAGTGTGTGCTGAGACGGGGATGTATGGCTGTTGACTGCATTGTGAAGGGCCGTGTGCAGATGGTTGATGGTGCTGGATTTAATCCTTCAGGCATCTAGAAACAGAGACCATAAGGCCAGGTTCTAATTGAGAGAAAGTTAATAGTTACCCATAGAATGTTTCCAATTGAATCTTTATTCCTACTGTGTCTGAATGCCGCCTCAGAAACATCCTCAGTATAGCACTCTAGGCAGTCACTTCCAATCAACTAGAACTGGCAGAAAATGAAGCCTGTTTCCCATTTCCTAAAGAAGAGGAGTCTGTGGATGAGTTTAAAAAGAGAAGGGTTATAGGACCAAACTCCTCCTAAAAGGATTGTCTCGTTAGCCACAGGGCACACTGTCTACATTGTGTAAGACAAGATGGAGAACAGTGAGAAAACAACAAGATCCCTACTCTTAAAGAGTGAGTGGCTACAGTGGTGAAGGGAGAAAGAGCAATTCAGTCAATGTAGGGACGTCTTTCTGTTTGTAGCTGTGACTGCAGGGATTCGAAAGGGGCAATATTGAGGCAGAAAGTAAAAAGCTGTCAAGCAGATTTAATCTAGCAGCTCTCTTGAATGCATGCCCTTGGCCTATAGGAAAATATATGTTCCTGTAAATGCAATTCCTTGTCCAAATGAAGGTTGGTGCTTTTTCCCAAAAAGTTCTCAAAAAGGCAGCTAGCCCTTTAGAAGAAGGCAAAATCTACTGAGCTGAGGAATCAGGGAAAAGCCATTAGTCTATGAACTGAAGATGGTGGCTGCAATTGTCTCAGTCAGTTCTGTATCAGAACTTGACACATGTTGTGTGCTCCGTGAGTCTTTTTAAATAAATGAGCAGGCTGAGGAATCAACTACCCAACTAAGCAGTCACCCATGTAACCTGGGTGTTCGTCCCCACTCTTGAATTTCAGTTCTTTCAGTCATGTGCTTGAAAACCTTGTTGTTTTTAAGGCCTTTCGTGTTCTGCTGTTCGAGGGTAATGAATAGAATAGCTCAGAACAAGCACATTATCGCTCATTTCTGATGTACCTCAAATTTAATCAAAATAAAGTATAAAAATCACAGCTTTCCAAAATCTCAGATATGCTGTCTAAAAACAGAACCCGCATCTGTCTCTAACTTGTGAAGAAAATGTATTAGGTAATATTAAACAGAACATTGTCCTTTTTGGAAAGAAAAAGAATTAGATCTTGTCTTCCTGACAAGGGATTCTAATTGGAATTTTAGTCAATTTGATCTAAATTTGAGCATCTATCCAAAGAACAATTTATTGACATCTGCTGTGAGCAGAGCTTTGTGCTAAGCGTGAAAGACATAGGAAGACGAACTAGAAACAGATCCTTCCAGGCAGGAATTGACGATCTGGTTGGAAAGATAAAACATATACTCACTTGATTGTGCCCTAAGTGGATCATGGTTAAACTGAGTCTGTCCAGATTCTGGGAGTGGTCGGAAGAGGGAATCTTTTCCAAGTACATCGTACAGGTAGGAAGTCTACCTTTCACTGCAGCCCTGAAGGGCTCAAAATTCAAACTGAACTGACCACGAGGTGTGTGTTGTGTGTATAACTGGAACTCCTATTCACTCTGAAGCCATTAAGTTATACATCTCTATCCAGGTTGTTGGGAGCAGCACAACGTGACTGGTTACGATTATCCAGGATAGGACATTTGCATGTTTAATTCTTACAAGCAATGCAGTTTTTACATGAGAATGTGGCCTGAAGTACTAGAGTTTGAAAAAACTTTAGATATGACCCAGTTTAGCATTCTACTCACACACAAAAAAAAAAAACAATCTCTAGAGAAAGAGCTATTAAACCCAAGACTACACAGCTATTAAGCGATGGTAACAGAGCTAGGATCAGAAGCAACTCTGGCTTAAATACAGAGGTTGTTTTATACTTTATGACAAGATCTTTACTTGGGGAAGATTCATAAGGCTTTCTGAAGGAAGTAGACTTGGGGGAAGCGGAGAAGCTGGACTCAGGAACCCTCTTGGGAGGCTTTTGAGAAGTAATGCAAGAGGTGTTTGTTTAGATTGCTGGAGTGGGCTGGCAAGGGAGGAGCTAACTGGAGAGAACACAGAGACCAGTGAGTGGGGCCTGCATGTGGAAGCAGACCAGGAAAGAAATGTCCTTGAACTACCTTTACATATTCTTCTTTGCTAAGTTGTCCCACTTGATTCTCTTAAGCTTACCTTCAAGTAGGAAACAAGGGATATAAATCCAAAATAAATACATCATACATCGTGAATAGTTACCGAGTTGAGCTTCTTTGTAATCACTCCACTTTCTTGAAGGCCTACTCCTTTTCCAGAACCTGGCCCTGTAGGTCTCAAAAATGCAGAAATGTAATCCGTTTACTAGACACCATCCTGACTTCATTTTTTACGCAGAGATGTCATCATTGTGTGAGTGGCCCTGGTTTTGGATTTCCTGCCAGACCCAATGAAGTTGCTATATGGGTGGCTTGCCTCCCACCCCATGACTCTAGATTTGGAACCAAAGACCCGAGGTGACCTCCAGTCCATGCTGTGCTCCAGAATAAGCCAGGCTCTCCATCTGAGGGGAGGCACCAGACCAGCCTTTAGTCTCTGTGAATCCCCAGACCACCTGCCTCAGAATAACTTGGGGAGCAATAAAATGTAGAGTCATGGGCTCCATCTTATACCCACTGAATAAGAATCTCTGGGGGTAGCTCCAGGGATCTGTGATTTTGACTAATGCCTCAAGTGATTCTTATTTATCTAAAGTTTGAGACTCTGCCTAAGATCACTTTTTTTTTTCTGGACTTTAATTTCCTGTTTGAGCACAGGGAAATGATAGTTTGCTGTGAATATAAAAAAAAGCATCTTGGAAAAAAAGCTACTGGGTATACATGTGTAAACATAAATGTCATTGTTGTGTGTTATTAATTGTACCATCTTGGGATGGAGAAAGTGTGAATCATTTTTTACTGAAGACTTATGAAAGGTGTGAGTGCTCACACTTGGAAAATCGTGCTGAGCTGAGTAAATGAATCTATGAATGAACACCGCCAGGAAAGATAGACCCTGAGGTAAATTCGTTAAACTTTTCTCTTCGATATCTATCTCCTTATGCATTCAGTCAGCAGAAATATGGGCCAAGGTATTGTGCCAGGCTAAGAAAACGGTGATAAGAAAGATACAGTCCCTGACCTCAACAACTTGGAGATCAATATGAATGCTCAATACCATGTAATAAGCACCAGCTCTAGGGTAGGAGTTGGGTGGGCATTAGTGTTTTGGCAGCAAGAATGGGAACCAGCTCTGTCACCAAGGTGGTAGTCCTGGAGCCTAGAAAGGTTCCAAAAAGGAGAGCTCCTTTCAAAACCCTTGTGCCTGGCGTCTTTCTTCCATCCTATTAAAGGCTCTGCTTGGGCTCTTATCCCACCTCCTTATCAGATCAATCTCAGGAACTCAGTGTGCATGGCTTTTTTCTTCAACTTTCTCCAAACTACCTTTCACACTCTAAGTCAACACATAGCTCTAGTCATAAACACTTGGGTTTAAAACATTGTTCCTCTGAGGAGGGATATAGTTTAGGTGATACCTTCATAAATTTTTAATCCAACGTGACTTTAAGCTTTGTTGGGAGTTTGTGCTTATGCTCATTATTTTTACATCAGCTGGTTGATAGGAGAAGTGGTATGTTTTGTTGATTAGTTACTGTTTTGCATTGCTGTGGGAGAAGATTGTTGACAATTGTTTTTTACTAGGCTTTATTCCAGCAGATAATAATTATTTTTATTTTCTATAAAGAATCAAGGATCAATACATCATCTAAGCTAATTTGTAGAGATTGGCCTTCTTTGTGTTTTAAGGCAAAATAACATGTAATAAATCAGATTTTAAGAAGTAGAAATTTGATGCTTCTTTGGATATCAGCCAGTTGACATGGATTCCAAGCCCTGCCCCTCTTCTCATCCAGCTTCTTGCTAATGTGTGAGTTGGGAGGCAGCAAGTGCTGGTTCAAGTACTAGTATACCTGTCACTCATGTGGGAGATGTGGATGGAGTTCCAAGCTCCTGGCTTTGCACCAGGCCAACCCTGGCTGTCACAGGCATTTGGAGAATGAACCAATGGGTTGATGAGCTCCCATTCTCTGTTAGCCTGTATACATCATTCTGACTTTCAAATAAAATAAATAAATACAACTTAAAAAAAAAAAAAACAAAGGTCTGGGTAAACATAATTTTTTAAAACCAATTAGGGCCTTGACTGGCCCTAATTAAAAATTTGAGACTTCAGTCTCTACCTGAAACCTGCTGAGTCAGAATCTACACTTTACCAGTATAGATAATTAGTATACATTAAAATTCAAAACTGTGAAGTTAGTGGGTTTTACCTAACTTTTTATCAAGACACTGAAACCTAAAGACATTAAGAAACTTGCCCAAAATCAAAGCCAGTATTGAAGTCATGGTCCACTTACTTTAAGACAAGCACTCTAACCAATCTACAGTGGAGTTTCTTTATGACATGGCAGTTGGAGAAGACTCCTTCAGTAAGTCATGCTCAAGAAAGTAAAGGAATTGCCACTTTCTCATAGTGTAAATGCATCTTTTTGGAAGCTTCAGAGGCCAAGAAGAGTGAAAGGGGAGCTCGCATGCCAAGCCTTGACTTTATGCCAGACACTTGGACAGCTCAGTGACAGGCAGGCTCATCCCCATTGCATTAGTGCTAAGAGTCCTCAGCATTTTACTCTGAAAAACTAGGATACAGGAAATGTTGGGGAGGTACGGGTTGAATTTAGTCTTACAAACTCATACACTAGGACTTTCTCAGGCCACAGTCCATGAATCAGAGATGGTAGGAACTTTTTTTTTTACTCCATGCTTAAACTAAGATCTTCGTTTTTGTAGAAGGCCATTTTCTTTGATTAGGTTTTGCTCTGTGCACTACTTTTTTTTCTTTTTAAGATTTTTTCTTTAAGTCAGATGTACAGAGAGAAGGAGAAACAGATAGGAAGATTTTCTGTCTGCTGATTCACTCCCCAAGAGGCCACAATGGCTGGAGCTGAGCTGATCCAAAGCCAGGAGCCAGGAGCCTCTTCCAGGTCTCCCATGCAGGTGCAGGGTCCGAAGGCTTTGGGCCGTCCTCTACTGCTTTCCCAGACCACAAGCAGGGAGCTGGATGGGAAGTAGAGCAGTGAGGATACAAACCAGTACCCTTATGAGATCCCAGTGCATTCAAGGCAAGAATTTTAGCTGCTAGGCTACCATGCTGGGCCCTGCCTGCTTCTTCTAAAGTCAGGAACTCCAGCTTCGGTTACTTGGAACTCCTCTTGATTTATGAACCACTTGTAGAGTGAAAGTGGTTTTCCCAAGGAAGAAAAAATAGTTTAAAATAAGGCCTTGAAGAATCAAGATGACAAAATGTATTATTTATGAGGACCTAAAATAAGTGCCGGGTCCTCCACTTGAAGTGAGCAGGCAGCAGCCAAGCACTGTGCAGCCCAGCTGACTCCAGCTGGGTCCACATGGCAGGGCTGGTCTGCCAAAGCTGTCTCAGCTGTTGTCAGAACTGCAAGGGCCTTATGTGGCTCCTGCTTCCAGCAAAGGGCAGCTTTGTAACTCATACTTATTGGCCTTAGTTTCTAAACTTACAATGAAGACATTCTTGAAGGAATAGATGGAGAAATGAAGTGGAAATCTGTGAATTGATAGAGACTAGAAACATATGCACACACTATAAGAGTACATGGGATTTAGGCCAATGTGTTGGTTCAACTGGCTAATCCCCCGCCTCCAAGTGCCGGCATCCCATATGGACATCAGTTTGTGTTCAGGTTGCTCCACTTCTAATCCAGCTCCCTGCTTGTGGCCTGGGAAAGCAACAGAGGATGGCCTAATCACTTGGGACCCTGCACCCATGTGGGACACACAGAAGAAGATCTAGGCTCCTGGCATCAGATTGGATCAGCTTCAGCCATTGCGGCCATTTGGGGAATGAACCAGCAGATGGAAGATCTTTCTCTCTATCTCTCCTTTTCTCTGTAAATCTGAATTTCAATCAAAATAAATGTAACTTTGGGGAAAAAAAAGAAAGAGTAGGATCCAGCACAGTGGTCTAGCAGCTAAAGTACTTGCCTTGAGTGCACCAGCATCCTAGATGGGTACCAGTTCTAATTCCGGCAGCTCCACTTCCCATCCAGCTCCCTGCCTGTGGCCTGGGAAAGCAGTGGAGGACAGCCCAAAGCTTTGGGACCCTGCACCCACATGGGAGACCCAGAGGAAGCTCCCAACTCCTTGCTTGGATTGGTGCAGCTCCAGCCATTGTGGCAGCTTGTGGAGTGAACCAACGGATGGAAGATCTTCTTCCCTGTCTCTCCTCCTCTCTGTATATCTGACTGTCTGATAAAAATAAATAAATCTTAAAAAGACAAAGAAAAGAAAAGAAAAGAAAAGAAAAGAAAAGAAAAGAAAAGAAAAGAAAAGAAAAGAAAAGAATGAATGAATCTCAAGCCTGTCTGCTACTGTTTGTGCAGACTAGGGTCCTTCTTCTTCTTTTTTTTTTTTTTTTTAAGATTTATTTATTTTGGAAAGGCAGATATACAGAGACAGAGAGCCAGGAGCAAGGAGCTCTTCCAGGTCTCCCATGTGGGTGCAGGATCCCAAGGCCCTGGGCCACCCTCGACTGCTTTCCTAGGCCACAAGCAGGGAGCTGGATGGGAAGCAGGACCGCCGGGATTAGAACCGGCAACCATATGGGATCCTGGCGCTTGCAAGGCGAGGATTTTAACCACTTTGCTAGCACACTGGGTCCCAGACTAGGGTCCTGATACATCTAGGAATCACTGAAAGATCACTAATCTTTTTCTTTCAATGTCATCATCTTCAAAGAATGCAATGGATTCTTTGCTTACTTCAACATAATGTTTGCAAGCATCTCTTTCTTCTGGTTTTTGAAATGAAGTCATGGACAGCAAGACATCTTGCAAGACAGCAAAGTCTACATCTTTGACCACTAAAGGAAAAGTGGAGTCCCTGTCTTGGGATCTCTTATCAGTAACCTACATTACAGGAAATCCATTTCCATGCAACCCAGCCCTTGACTCTGGCTGTTACCTTTGGTGTCTGAAAGCTTGAGGAAGTGAATTAGACTTGAGGTAGTGAATTAGACTTGATGGTCATTTCACAAATCCATTTCTCTAGGGAGGGTGCAATTCTGTGATGGGAGGAAGATCATGGAAGAAGAGAAGGTGACACCAGGGGACTTCTGAGAGCACCCAAGGTAGCCATGATTGTACTCAAGCTTCAGAGTGGTGGCAAGTCTGCTCTCATCAGCAGAGCATGGCCTAGGGGTGGATCAAAGACTTCAGGCTTCACAGCACCCTCTCCCAGCTCTAATACCACCTGTACTTCATCCTCTTCCTTCTTTTCAGTCTTTACAATTTCTCTTTGGTGATATGGTGACAACACTGTGAGGAAAAATACGTTAAGTGGTTCTTGATGTATTTGGAGCTTGACATGTCTTCTTTTTTTGGCTGTTGACTCCTATATCTTCCCAGATAGAGAAACCAGTGTGATCCGCAGGCCCTCAGGTAGTCCCCTTGCAGCATCCACCTGGTGTTGCCTCTGGTTCTGATCCCAGAGGGTCTTCCTGTTTCCTCTTCTCAGAGTGTTGCTCCTGGAGTGAGAGAATAGGCTCTGATTTCCTACATACCTGGCGGTGCTGGAACCTTCACAAAAATAGAGCTTCCTATCTCCCACATTCCCATTCAGAATAATAAAATCTTAGGCTTGAAAAAAATATCTTCAGCATATTTTGGTCCAGGTATTTACTTTGTGAAGGAGAGGCAGCATAGAAAAAAGAACAGTATTTGGGTTCAGCCCTGTGTCTACCTCTTGCTAGCTCTGTAATTCTGGTCTGATCACCTAATTCCTCTAAGCAAGGAAGCCTTCAAGGGCTCTGCTAGGAAATAAAAGTAATGCAAATGCAGTGCCTACATATATAAGGAGACATGAAAAGGTTTGTGAGAAAATGAAGTTAAAAGATACATGTATTTTGATGCAAAAAAATGTAGCTCTTTCTTAATACGCATTTTCCATGAACTTTTAAAAGACCTTTCATCTGATGTGCTCAATAAACAATGAGTAATTTTATCATTATCCTACCAGAGGCTTTTAAACTTTTGCCTGCAGAATATCTGAATTTTTTCCACATAGTCTCTATCATAGATGGTTTTTAGATCTTCACCATGATGACTTTTTCTGTTACTGTTAGTTTATTATAGAACAATGCTATAACAGAAAATTTACCCTTTCAACCATCTTAATCAATCATATAGTTCTAGGACATCAAGAACATTCAGATTGTTACAAAACTGTGCCTGCCATCCATTTCCAAAACTTTTTCATGAAACTCTGTGCTATTAAGCATTACCTCCTCTCCAAGCCTGGCCACTCTGTTTTAAATAGCATACTCCAATTTTGTGTGTCTTTTATTGCACCACAATCAGTTGTTGGAAAGAACCCTTTGGAAGAGTTTTCTTTGAGTTCTTCAAATTTCTACTGGGAAACCAAAGAGTTAACGATCTAAACCAATTGCAGTAAACTTTAGGGTTTGCAGATGGTTATAGAATGCTGTCAACACAGCTGCTTAGCATGGGAGAAATCTGACAAAGAGCCTTTCAAGGACTGGTACATTCCTTCCCAAAATATCAAAGGACAGGTCATGGCATTGTTTTCGGGGAGGGACCAATGCTTTCTGAATTCTTCAGTAACACCTACCTTAGGTGAGGATAAAATTCATGTTAAGAATATTGCACAATGCCTCACAGAGGCAAAGCATTTGTAACCAGCTCTTGTTACTATTATTGCAACATGACAGAGGCATTGTGTGTATTTTGGTGTTTCTTTCCTCAATAGGTAGATGTCATCTTTCTTTTCCCTAAGACAGCTGAGGCTCTGGATTTGTAACACTCTCCCATTACACATCAAGTGACAGAGCAGAAAAGCTGGGATTCAAACTCATATTTTCTTTAATAAGATGCTGCCTGTTGAGATATACCAAGAAAGGAACTCTGTGTGTGTGCCATGGTGACTTTACTCTCAGTGTTTCATCTTTCCATCTAACCTGGCCTCTCCATGGGGTACTATCTTTTCACTCCTTCTGCTTGTTAAATTCGGACATCTACTATCCATCCTTGAGAGCTTTCTGCATTAGCCAGTCCTCATTCTCTGTACCGTCTTCAGGTGGTCATTCAGACTTGAGTAAACTCTGTGCTTTACATTAGGAAACCAAAACCGTGTTTGCAAACCATGCTTTATTTGGTGAATATGTAAAAGCTAATGAATTGTGCATAGGATTTAGAGTGATCATCCACTGGGATTTGGTCAGAAAAATGGTACTTTTTAGGACATTCAAGGCACTCGGAAGCATTAAGCAGAATTTCTTCAGAAAATTTTTTTAAATGTGTTTACATTTTACTTTCCTGCATGATTAGGTATTATTCTCTTTTCAATTAAAAAAAAAGTGACTTTTTTTACTTTTTGTCACAGCTGCTAGGAAGGCTAAAGTCAATTTGTTTGCTCAGTCATCACAAGTATCCAACTTCTACGGCTGGCACTTAAATATACTTTTCAATGTTTTAAATTTGCATTTCTGTTTTATTTATTATGTCATAATAACACACTTTGGAAAAAGATGAACTTAAATCAGTAATAATGGTAAGTTCCCAAAGGTCAAAGGTCATGTTCATTTGTTGTAGTGTTCCCAGCACCTAGCCCATTATCTGGCATAAGTAGGTACCCTAAATACTTGTCATTTGAAAGAACTAAACATGTTGATGAATTCTCACTCAAAATGACTTAGAGCGTGATGTCTTTGATAATTGCCCTTGGACTCTTAGCTTGAAGGACATCAGGATAAAAACCTTAGAAGATACTCCTTGGATTTTAGAGTTCTACCCTTAAGGAACTAAGTGCATGCACTAGTAATAGATACTGAGTTGATCGTGACTTAAACAAGAGAAGTCAGTTTACCTTCTTTGGTAAGAACTCAGTTGTGTACTCCCCAAAGTTATAGGTTGAAGGCCTGACCCCTAATATGACTAGAGTATTCAGAGATCGGACCCATAAGGAAGAAAGAAAGATTGGGCCCGGAGCCATGGCGCAGTGGTTAAGGTCCTCGCCTTGCACGCTCGGGATTCCATATGGGCACTGGTTCTAATCCCGGCGGCCACACTTCCCTTCCAGCTCCCTGCCTGTGGCCCGGGAAAGCAGTCGAGGACGGCCCAAGGCTTTGGGACCCTGCACCCGCGTGGGAGACCCGGAAGAGGCTCCTGGCTTCGGATCGGCATAGCATCGGCCGTTGTGCTCACTTGGGGAGTGAATCATCGGATGGAAGATCTTCCTCTCTGTCTCTCCTCTCTGTATATCCGCCTTTCCAATAAAAATAAAATAAATCTTTAAAAAAAAAAAAAGGAAGGAAGAAAGATTAAGTGAGGTGCTAAAAATAAAGCCTTAATCTGGTAGGCTGATGTTTTGCTACAAAAAGGAGACAACAGAGATTGCTGCCACTGTGTGTGTGCACAGATGCTACAACAAGAAGACAAGTATCTGCATGCTGGGAAGCGGAGTCTCACAGAAGCCAACCCTACTAGCACCTTCAGATTGCACTTCCAGGCTCCAGAAGTAGGAAGAAATTACAGTTGTCCCTTGCGGCCATAGGCAGTTACCTCCAGGACACCCCGAGTCCATTTATTTTTGGCATTGCATGTAATTTAATGCACATCCTACCATATACCTTAAATTATTTGGAACTACTGCTATACTTAACACAGTGTAAATAGTTGTTATACTGTGTTTTTAGGGATCAATAGCAAGAAAAAAAGTCGGGAGGCGAGTGGGCATTTTGCACAGCAGTTGGTAGAGTATTTGGAACTGCCACATATGATATGGGAGTGCATAGGTTTGAGTCCCAGCTCCAATTCCAATTCCAGCTTCACATTAATGCATGCCCTGGGCGGCAGCAGTTAATGGCCCGAATGCCTGAATTCCTACTATGTAGAAAACTAGGATTGAGTTTGTGGTGGGCATTTGGGGAGTAAACCTGCAGCTGGAAGATCTCTTTCTGTCTGTTTCTCTTTCCCTACCTTTCAAATAAACAAAACCAAAAGTTTGTTCATATTCAGACACATTTTTTTCCCCCTGAATATTTCTGATCCACAGTTGGTTGAATCCACAGAGGAAGAAACCCTGGATATGGAGGGCCTGGTGTGATTTCTGTTGTTTCTGCCACCAGGTCTGTGGTATTTTGCTATTGCAGCCCAGCACATTAGTACATTCACACGTGAGTGATCTGGTGATGTTCAGCCATGACGGGTGTCATAGCTCCATGGTTCTCAGGAATCTCAATTATTTCTCTCTGTGTTTCACTGTCCTTAACAGAGGTTTTCATCCCTGAGGTCTGGTTGCTTGTTTGCTTTGGTTTTTTGGTTCTTGTTGTTTGTTGTTGTTGTTGTTTTCCATGGACCAGGAGAGTACTAGAGTTAGCCATTGTATCTATATTCACCAGGAAGCAAGCACAAAAAAACAGAGGCTCTTTAAGGCACTGTCCCTAAATTGCTGCCCAGCCACGTCCACTTATAACTCATTCATCGAAGCTAAGTCACAGAGCTTCACTAACTGCAATAAAAGCTGAGAAATTAATCTTTGGGGGCCCTGCGTGGTGACCTAGTGGCTTAACTCCTTGCCTTAAATGCGCCAATTCTAATCTGGCAGCCCTGTTTCCCAGCTCCCTGCTTGTGGCCTAGGAAAGCAATTGAGGAGGGCCCAAAGCCTTGGGACTTTGTACCCACGTGGGAGATCTGGAAGAAATTCCTGGCTCCTGGCTTCAGATCGGTGCAGCTCCGGCCATTGTAGCCACTTGGGGAATGAATCATCAGACAGAAATCTTCCTTCCTGTTTGTCTCTCCTCCCCTCTGTGTTTCTGACTTTGCAATAAAAATAAATAAATATCTTTTTAAAAAGAAAGAAATTAATCTTTGAGCTGGATGCATGGTTATCCTGAATAAAATTTAGGGTTTGTTGCTAGGAAAGAGGAAAAGAATGGATTTTGACTGATGTCCAGCAGTCATTATGCCTCTAGAGACTTGTGTACTTTGGGGAATGAGGGAGGTTTAAGTCAGCTTATCACTCACAAGGACTTCAGAAAGCCCAAGCAGTAACCTTAACAGGACAGTGGAAAGTGATTCTGTCTATAGAACAGTCCAGGCCTGTGTGGCTGTAGGGACCTGCTCACCTTGAGTTTAGCCACCTACCCAGCCTCCTCTTCTGCTGTTTGGTGGTGTGCTGCCCCTGCTTCATTCCCTGAATGCGCATGTCCTTACCTGCATTCCAGTTCCTTCTACATGGGATGTCTTTTGATACCTGTCCTTCCAACATAAGCCTGAACTCTTCCTGCTGGAAGCACCTCACTTTGTTGTCAAGGAGTAGAGCATGACAGGGCTAGAGATGTGAGGGAGGATAACATTATAGTGAAGAAACCTAGGAAACACTACTTTGACCAGGAGATTAAGGTTATCATCACCTGTGAGAATGGTTGACAGTAGGCACCTTGGATATGACTTGATGAGAAGGGAGCTTCACCTTCATGGTCCTCTTCTTACTAACCTGTAATCCTATCTGACTATAAGACAGAATAACTCAAATTGAGGAAAACCCTGCAGAAGACCTGCTAGTATTCAAACAAGCCAATGTCAAAAACAAGGGAATATGGAGCAGCTGTAACTGCACAGAAGGGCCAGAGAAAATGCGATAAGTAAAGGTCATGTGATGTCCAGATGGGGGTCCTGGAGCAGAAAAGACATTGGGGAAAAAAAAAAACAGTGACAGCTAAACAGAGCGTGACATTTAGGTAATTGTCATATACCAGTGCTAGTAAGGAATATGTTAACAGCAGGGCAAGCTTGGGAAAGGGATTTGGGAACTCAGGAGTATCTTTTCAGCTTTTCTTTAAATCAGCAAGTATTTTTTTAAATTAATTTTGAGTCTTACATATTCTTTTTTTAAGATGTATTTATTCGGAAGGCAGAGGTACAGAGGGAGAAAGGGAGAGAGACTCTTCCATCTGCTGGCCCATACCCAAAATGACTGTAATGACTGGACTAGGACAAAGCTAGCAGCTTCACCTGGGTCTCATGTGGACAAGGGACCCAAAGACCTGAGTCGTCATCTGCTGTTTTTCCTAGGCGTATTAGCAGGGAGCAGAATCAGAAGTGGAGCTGCCAGGATTTGAACTGACACCTATATGGAATGTCAGCACTGCAGGCAACACCTTAAACTGTTTTGCCACAGGACCAGCGTCTGAAAGTATTTTTTTTAATAGAAATTATTAAAAACCAATCTCTATTCTCTGGCTCACTGATGATGTAACATGAGCAAAGCTTTTAACCCCTTCAGGTTCAAGTGTGAACTCAGTGAGGAAAGCCAACCTACACTGTGCAACAGGAAGACACTGTCGTGAAACAGTGTGAGCGGCAGTGCCCCCACCCTTACATGGTTTTTGCTGTTTTCTGCAATACTGCTCGAGTGCAGATTCCATGCCAGCCTGCTGAATCCCACACAGGGATGTGTTTCCAGAGCCTGCTGCTTTGGGGCCAGCAGAGCACCACCACTCTCCGCACAAGGTTCTTCTGCAGCTGAAATTCTTTGTAGGGAACTTTGCTTCCCCTTTCTTGACAACTTGCTCTTATGGGCTAAGGATACATTTTTATTTCCATATTTCACTTCATTTCCCCCCTTGGATTCAGTTTTTCTCTTTAGGAATCAGCATATGACTCAAAGTGCCAGTTCTAAATTTAG